TGAGGGCAGTAGGGAAATCAAAACATGGTTAAAAAGTAATTTTTTCCAGTATTAACAATTCTGCCCACTTCTGAAAAGGATAATTAAAAGGGTTTACTTTTTTTCTGATCTTATTGTACAGCTCTGCAATCAAAGAAAAAATATCTTATTTTTCTGAACCTCTCATTACTTACACATTTTATAAACATCTGCACTCAAAAAGTCCCACTCTAAGCCAGGCGCTGGTGGCTCACGCCTGTAATCCTAGCTACTCAGGAGGCTGAGATCTGAGGATCGCGGTTCAAAGCCAGCCCGGGCAGGAGAGACTGTGAGACTCCTATCTCCAATAAACCACCAGAAAACCGGAAGTGGTGCTGTAGCTCAAGTGGTAGAGCGCTCGCCTTGAGCTGAAGAGCTGAGGGACAGCGCCCAGGCACAGAGTTCAAGCCCCACGGCCGACCAAAAAAAAAGTCCCACTCTAAATGGAAAAAAAATTAAAATATTTCATGTTACAATGCAATGTGGTATAGATAAGGTCCATAGGGTAGAGATTACATACAAACTAATGAAATATGCATTACAGTATGAACTTTGGCTAATGTCAGTATTGAATATGAGGTATAAGAAACTCTTTGGTATCTTCATTTATTCTAAATCTAAAACTAAGCCAGGAGTCAGTGGCTCACACCTGTAATCGTAGCTAGTCAGGAGCCTGATGCTCAAGGTTCTAAGCCAGCCAGGAAAGTATGTGAGATTCTTATCTCCAATAAATTACTCAGAAAAAGCCGGAAGTGGCACTGTGGCTTAACTGGTAAAGCATTAGCCTTGAGCAAAGAAACTCGAGACAATGCCCAGGCCCAGAATTCAAGCCCCAGAAACAGCAAAAACAAAAACAAAGTCCTAAAGCTGTTTTTTAAAAGGACTTTATAATATAAATTAATAGTTTTTGAGATAGACTACCTCAGAGTGGCCTAATATTGGAGAGAGCACTGAATTCCAATGCTACCTTGATCACTAACCAAATATGTATGAACTTTTATTTCTTTGGGTTCTCAGGGGGGTTTTTTGTTTTTAGTTGTTTTTTTTTTTAATTTGCAAAGTCAGAGGGCCAAGAGGTATGGTAAAGTGTTTTACCTTAAAAGTTTAAGTCTAATTTGAATTATTTCCCTCAAATTTTTTTCCATAAAGGAAAGCATATGACTTAGATATTGCACAGATTTTGAAATACTTTAATAAAGATCAAATATAGTCATTAATATGTTTCTTTTTAAATGTAGTCATTAAACTCAGAAGGCAAGTAATAGAATGTTAGCCTAGCAAATACGAGGTGCTGAGTTCAAAGCCCGGTACTGGTTAAAAAAACAAAGCAGGCGCCAGGTGCTGGTGGCTCACACCTGCAATCATAGCTACTTAGAAAGCTAAGATCTTAAGGATCAAAGCCAGCCCAGGTAGAAAAGTCCTCATGAGACTCTTATCTCCAATAAACCATTCAAAAACGGTAAGTGGAGCTGTAGCTGAAATAGTAGAGGGCTAGCCTTGAGCACAAAGAGGCTCAGGGACAGTGCTCAGGCCCTAAATTCAAGCCCTACACTGACCAAAAAAAAACAGCTGGGTACTGATGGCTCATGCCTATAATCCTAGCCACTCTGGAGGCTGAGATCTGAGGATCATGGTTTGAAGCCAGCCTGGGCAGGAAAGTCCGTAAGACTCTTTTTTTTTTTTGGGTCCGGTTGTGGGGCCTGAACTCTGGGCGCTGTTCCTCAGCTCTTCAGCTCAAGGCTAGCACTCTACCACTTGAGCCACAGCGCCACTTCTGACTTTTTGTCTTTTTTGCTTATGTGGTTCTGAGGAATCGATCCCAGGGCCTCATGCATGCAAAGCAAGTGCTCTACCACTGAGCCACCTTCCCAGCCCCATAAGATTCTTTTTTTTTTTTTTTTTTGTCGGTCGGGGGGCTTGAACTCTGGGCCTGGGCGCTGTCCCTCAGCTCTTCAGCTCAAGGCGAGCGCTCTACCACTTGAGCTACAGCACCACTTCCGGTTTTCTGGTGGTTTATTGGAGATAGGAGTCTCACAGTCTCTCCTGCCCGGGCTGGCTTTGAACCGCGATCCTCAGATCTCAGCCTCCTGAGTAGCTAGGATTACAGGCGTGAGCCACCAGCGCCCGGCTCCCATAAGACTCTTATCTACAAATGTATGCATTATCCTGCCCATGTAATTGTAACTCCTCTGTACAGCATGTTCACAAATAAAATAAAAATTTTAAAAAAAAAGACTCTTATCTACAATGATCCACCAGAAAACTGGAAGTGATGTTGTGACTCAAAGCAATAATTGAGCCCTAGTCTTGAGCAGAAGAGCTCAGGAACAAAGCCTAGGCCTTGAGTTCAAGCACCATGACCTCCTTCCTCCCCCGCCCCCCAAAAAACCATAATCATCAGGTTGTAGCTGTTGGTTTTCCTATCTCTCCCCACTCTGCTATTATTGGCCAACTAAACAACTATTTGCCAAAATTCTACATCTTAGAGGAAATATATGTATATTACATCCATCTAGTTTATCTGCTTCTTAATTTTAAACCAAATGACAGGTTTTTTTTCCTTAAACATAAAGGTACCATTTCCTTCTTATGTACCAAAAGTAAACAATACGAAAGTAAAACTAATAGGATATCAAAACAATTCATTTCAAGCCAGGTGTTCATGGCTCATGACTGTAACTGAATTTACTCAGGAGGCTGAGATCCAAGAATTGTGGTTCAAAATCAGGCCAGGCAGAGAAGTCTGTAAGACTTTTTTTTTGTCTTTTCTTTTTTGATACTGGGGATCAAACCCAGGATATTTCATGGCCACTGAGCTATATCTCAGTCCTGTGAGACGCTTATCTCCAATTAATCACCAAAAATCCAGAAGTGGATGCAGTACAAGTAGTGCTAGCCTTGAGCAAAAGATGCTGAGGGACAGTGCCCAAGCCAAGTTCAAGCTCCACGACCAGCAAGCAAGAAAAAAAACAAACAACAAAACAACAAAAAACCTCAACTGTCTGAACCGTATCACCTTCATGCCAATGCTCAAAGGAGGATAAAATTGTAACAGAACATTGAAACAAACCAGAAAACAGACTTAATAGGCATCAATAACTTATCTATCTTGTTTGCAATATATATTCAACTTCCCAAGAGAACTTTTTAAAAGCAGTTAACAAAGTATGTGACACTGGGATCATCTACCTCTGGTCTCTAAAATACTTTCAAACATTCTCTCATCCATTTAATGTTAGAAAAATGCCATTTTTAAATAAGTAATGTAATCACACAAAATAAAAACTGAAATTAAGATGTCTCATTTTGCCGGGCACCGGTGGCTCATGCCTGTAATCCTAGCTAATGATGAGGCTGAGATCAGAGGATCACGGTTCAAAGCCAGCCCTGGCAGGAAAGTCCAGGAGACTCTTATCTCCAATAAACCACTAGAAAACCGGAAGTGGCACTGTAGCTCAAGTGGTAAAGCACTGGCCTTGAATGAAGAGCACAGGGACAGCACCCAAGCCCAGAGTTCAAGCCCCACAACCGACAAATTAAAAAAAAAAAAAAAAGATGTATCATTTTGGGCCAGGTGTTGGTGGTTCGTGCCCATAATCCTAGCTACTCAGGGGGCTGAGATCTGAGGATTGCAGTTCAAAACCAGCCCATGGAGGAAAGTCCAGACTCTTATCTCCAATTAACTACCAGAAAACCGAAAGTGCTGCTGTGGCTCAAGTAGTAGAGCACTAGCCTTGAGCATAAAAAGTTCAGGGACAGTGTCTGGGCCCTGATTTCAAACCTCATGACCTACTTTAAAAAAAAAATGTATCATTTCATTACTTTTCACGAAACTACAGGTACTGAGCACAACTCCTGGAAAGGCCTGGTCTCATTCACAAATACATACTGAGGTACAGTAATTAAACTCGTAACATTAAATGACAATTTAGCAGTTGACTCTGAATCCAAGAACCCTGAAGTCTTTCCCCAAAGCCGGGATACCTAGATTGTCACCTTTGATACCTACAAATAATAAAGATGAAACTTAACAATAAACATGCAGAATGTAGCTAGAGGGTTCCTTATAAGAAGAATCACTGTCCATTCAAAGCCTTCCACTTTAGTACAGATTTAATCATCTACTTATTATACAACGATGACATGAAATATGAAGTCACACTATTCTACAATCTAGCTTCCAAAGAGACTTTGAGGAAAAAAAACACATCTTAGGCTATCGTTTTTAAATAGTAAAGCATAGAAACTCTTAAAACATTTCAACTTGACATTTTTTTCAATGCCCAGCGAGGCTCGGTGCTACTACGACTTAATCTGCCGATGGGACACCAAAACCTGGCCTTCAGTTCTAGAGAGGAGCTGGACGTATTTTTATCTAAGGAACCACTTGTTCTACAATCAACGCTCAGTTTGCTCGGTATTTGGTTTTGTTTTCTGTTTCCCTGATGCACTGTAGTGTTTTTCACTCAGGTGAAAGAAAAAAAAACAAAAGGCAACCTGCATTTAGCAAGGTGAGAATAGTCATCGCTCCCTTATCCATGGAGCACCGGTGCTCTTCGCCTCCGTCCTCCGCCCGCACCCAGCTCGAGAGGCGTCCCACGAACAGGGCCGCTCAACCCGGCCCAGCAGCCTCTGGCCCCAGCCTCCGCTGGTGCCCGAAGGGGCCACCTGCCCACCTGGGGCCTCCACGGCGCCTTGCGCCCACAGCCCGGGCCCGCGTCCGCGAGGCCCCGCGGGTGCACGA